GTAGCTTTCAGAATCATAGCAACTCACAAGCCACTACAGTACGACAAACTGACAGATGAGTGGTAGCTGTTTGGTTTTAAGTGGAAACTGTCACTTCAAATATTGTGGTAATGCCTATGGATGACTTAGCACAGTACTTGGCACTTAATAAGCATTCAATTAATGTTAATTACTGTTATTGTTGTATTAGACAGTTTGTGAATCAGCAGACCTGTAATACAAGCAGATGAATGCAGATTGCTTTTTAAATTTGCTTATAGAATTTTTAAGAATTTAAGAAGTAAATAATATTGAAAAGCAAACAAGAAAAATTTCTACTTGAGTTTAAGGCACAAAGTTCAAAGAATTTATTATTACAGAAGAAAAAAGTTTATTCACTCAGGCGTGAAATGATTCCTAAAGAAAGAGAGCAGCTGAGTGTCCCCGTAACCACCCGTGTAACATATTAATGTACATAACTGCTGCATGACTATCTCATGTTAATGCCTGCCATAGAAAGTCATATTTTCCTGTAAAAACAACTCTGAACATGATGTGATTAACCTTTAGGGTCCCCATCCCCTCATCTCAAAGCCCAGCTCATGCATGGCCTATGCTTCCTACTCATGTTCAACCATCTGATTTCCATATCACCCACTCACTCTCACCAGCGGGTATTAGCATAACAGAACTGTAGCTCGACTTTGATTGAAGCCAGCTTGGGCTGAATGCAGTATCAAAGCATAATTTAGCAGGAATCAAATCTAATTTACTGTGCATTGTATTTAAATTCTCAAAACACAATTTCAAGAGAACTGTCCCAGACCTCTAATCTTAATTGACCTTTTTATACTCGGGTCTACATCTCTGGAAATTGCACAACATACTTTTCTTTATAGAGCTGTTGTTTTTAACTTGCAAGTCGATTAAACACCGAATTGTGCCACTGTGTTTACTTCAGCTCATTTCTTGTTATAGCTGAAGCAATAAGGTATAATCACTTGACAAATTAGGCAAGTAGCGTGTAACATCATAGTTACAAAAGATTTGTTTAATACTTTCCAGATTTATAGAGGTTATAAATATGGATTCATGGGCATCTGTCTTAGAAATATATAAGAGATTTGCCATTTCTTTAACTAGTTTATAACTGGAATTTATAACTCAACCTCTTTAATTCGCATTGGATTTAAATGTGTGTTTTGAATTGCCATTTTGAGGAATTAATTGTGTGTGTGTGTGTATATATATATGAAAGCCACCATAGAAATTCCATTTCTGTACAGTGCACTGTGTCCTATTGTGCTTTCTTGATAAAATGTCATTTCTCTGTGTATGCCACTTCCGTGTGTGCCATCAGCCAAAAACTCTCTACTCAGAGCATTTTCACTATCACCTGGTAGAAATACTGAAGCTGCAAAGTATTAGTCAAAGAATTATTGATGCAGTTTTTCATTTAAACACCTCCCTGAAATAAATTTCTTCATCAAGTACCCCTTCACAGAAGATTGCAATATAGATCTTGGGCAGAGAGGGAGGCAACAGAAGTGGAACTGATTCAGGCAAATTATTTTGGTCATCAACATGCAGGTGACAATAGAAAAGCTGTCCATTCTTGGATACTTGAATAGTCTTGAAACCTTTCGCTTAATTAGGATAATTTTAATTTTAAAAATTAAGGCAACTCTGGTTTCAGTGGGATCCCTGTGACTTAAGCTCTGGTGACAAGGTGCTATCTGGTGCATTGGGAGGAGAGTACATTTATAAAAACTTGTAATGAAAGTGTAATATCAGTACATCACATAAAAGTATATCCTATCACTTAGCACTAGTGCTGATAGCTGTTTGTAAGTGGCATTTAGAAATATTCAATATTGGTCAAAAGCTCTAGAAATTATGATTTCCTGGCTTTTTATAAGATCTTTTCCATAGTAAATATTACATTGTTGTTGTTGTTGTGTGCTGTGGAGTCAGTTCCGACTCATGGTGACCCTGCACAGGGTTTCCGAGGCTGTAAATCTTTACGGGAGCAGAAAGCCTCATCTTTCTCCCACAGAACAGCTGGTAGTTTCGAACTGCCGACCTTGAGGTTCACAGCTCTATTCGTAACCACTAGGCTACCAGAGCTCCTAAATATAACATTGGGATATTACAAAATTTCTTTGTCTTTTAAGAGTTCTGATGAAATTTCACTACTATAGTAAACAGCAGTTGTCAAATAAATATTTTTGCATTAATTTACTATGGTTCCCAGCCAAGCATCTGCCCTTTTTTCAGTCATTATAAAGCTCACCAGCAAGCCTCAGAAACCCTATACAGGGTCACTATGAATTGGTCAACATGACCGCACTTAACAACAACACCTATCTCTATATATTTATATTCGTATACATATGTACAGAGTCCTATTTTGGCGCTTTGGGTTAATGACTGCAAAGTCAGTCAGTTTGAACCACAAAGTGGATAGTTCAAGCTCACCAGCTGCTCCTTGGAAATCCTATACATGGTCGCTATGGGTTCGAACTGAGTCAAAGGCACTTAACAACAACAACATCATATATCTATACAAAGAAACAGTTTGAAGAATTTTATAAACCTATAAAATGTGCTTTTGTTACTTTGATGTTTAATCTGATGATTTTAATGATATTTATGTGGCACTGTGAGTTAAATGTGCTGGGCTGCAAGGTCAGTTTGAACTGGAATGTCAACAGTTCAAGTTTACCTGCTGCTCCTTAGAAACCCTATCCAGGGTCCATATGAGTCTGTACTGACTCTATGACACTTAACAATAACATCAACAATCAGTTGTTACATTTTAAAATTTGTATGCAGAAAGACTTTGTAGAATATGTGGGTCCCTATGTTTTTTACTAAGTAGGTATGTGAAACAATTGAAAAATTTTCTGGTCAAAACAGTACAAATAAACTCATAAATTGAATATGGGACTTTTATTAAAGGTTTTCAAATTAATCTCTTTTTTTTTCTAAATTGACTAGTTTTGACAGAAATACAAGGTAAATTACTCAGTGGTTTTCCTTTAGCTAATGTCCCTATGGGTACTATAAATTTCTTTCTTAGAATTATAAAGAAGGAACGTATCATACCACTCTTAAATTTTTTCTAAACATATTTTTTAGAGTAATACAGATGATGAAGGCTGACCTTAAAAATGTCTTTAGTTGCTTTTTTTGTTTTGGTGACATATACTTGGTGGTTTTAAATCTCTCTCCTGTGAAACAGATGTGGCAGTGTTTTAAGAGTTTTGTTGTTGTTATCATTCTTCAGAAGTAATTTTGCAACATTGATTTAAACTATCATTCCTATTAGAAACCAAGAGGAAAAAAATCAATGTATCTGCTGATTCAGTGGAATAGTATAAAATAACAAGAAGACTGTAAGAAGCAAGTAATCTCCTAAAGTGTAGGGCAACATAAACCACACTCTGTTCGAATAGATCCATAAATCTGAGTTCAACATGCTGTTAGAATGAATCTTCTGTTATCTATAGTTATAGAAGAAACTTTCTCTTAGTAGATTTATCTCTACTGCCCTTGGGTTTATGTGTTGAATTAGGAGACAGTATAAATAGAACACTAAAAAAAATAATAATAATAAGTCACTACAAAACACAGTGAATTGTTTTGTTTTTTTTGGGGGGGGGGAAACACCTTATTTTTTCAATGCTATCATTCTTATAAGAATGAGTGATTAATTGATTGTGTGTTTAGGGTTACCTTTCGTTTACTCCATCCTTGGACCTGCAATTAGTGGTTCTGTAGGACTGAGAGAATTCAGTAGGAAGGCCTTTACTGGACACTGCTTATTCTTTGAGTTCTTTAAAGTTCAAACCACTCTTAAATTTTGGAATGATGCCAGGTACACCAGGTTCTAAAAATTAAAGCTGATCTTAAAGTCTTTTCTTGGCCTTAGTTTTCTAACATAAGCAACTAGTTAAAGTGAAAACAGATGATACAAATGTCATGGAGTAAACATGGAGTTTTTAACAAGAGTTAGTTTTTGTACCAGAAAGAATATATACTTGTAATAACTTTAAGTTATATTGAAAGTTATACTGTCTACTGGCCATATCTTTGACAGTCTTCTGTCTCTTTATCAATAAACCCTAATTTGAACTTTGTTAATATTTTCATTTCTCATTCCCTCCACACAATTTCTATTAAAGTTACTTGTGATTAGATCTCATTCTCTTCACCTATACAATCTTGTTGTTGTTGTTATTAAGTGCTGTTGAGTCAGTTCCGACTCATAACGACCCTGGATAGGGTTTCCGAGGAGCAGCTGGTGAGCTGGAACCACAACTATGAGCTTCAAACTGACCGTGTAGTCTAGCGCATTAACCTGCAGTGCCACACCAGGACTCCTAGGGATATTTTATGCCTTTTGGTATACTCCAGATCCTAGTACAAAAACAAAAAACCCCACTACTGTTTAGTTGATTCTAACTCCTAGTGATACTATAGGACACTGAGACTGTAAATCTTTATGGATGCCAACTGCCACATCTTTCTTCCACAGAGAGCTGGTGTGTTTGAACCACCGACCTTTCAGTTAATCAGCCCAGTGCTTAAATCACTGTGCTAAAAGAGTATCCACACTCTGAAAATTATCAATGTTTGTCGATAGATTGTTTTCAGAGCAAGAAAATGGTTACATAAAGTAGTGCTTATTTTCTACCTTTATTTAAAGGACTGGACCAAAAATGGAAACAATCTCTTTTTCATTAAAAATATTAAAATGCCATTAAAGACTATTTTATATAAGTATATGGACTACAGGATACATTTAAAAGTATCTATTAATACCTTATTTTCTCTTATCTGTTAGAGAGCTGTTTCCCCCTTTCCTGTTTGCATTTTGAATAATGTGAAAATATAAGTGAAAACCTGTATCCTCTGCCTAGCATTGAGCTATCCACCTAATACCAGGTTTTCTCTTTGGTATCTTTTTCTTTGTCAGGGGCTGATATTTACACACTTTGTTTCCTTTTAAATTATAGCTCCTCCACAGTTTGTGGTTAGGCCAAGAGATCAGATTGTTGCTCAAGGTCGAACAGTGACATTTCCCTGTGAAACTAAAGGAAACCCACAGCCAGCTGTTTTTTGGCAGAAAGAAGGCAGCCAGGTGAGTGGAGGCTTGACTGCTTTTCTGAAATCTCTGAACTCCCCTGTCTCTGGTAATGCTCAAAGTTTGCCTAGAAAATCTTGTTATCAACGATGAATTTATTAAATTTCTAAAAAAGAGGCCAGTGGGTTCTGAAATAAGTGGCAGTCAGCTGTTCTGATATAATGTTCTGTATTTGCTATGTAAATTTTATAAGTCTGGTTCTTACTAAACTAGAAAGAACACATTGCTACTATATTTTCTTTAAAAATCCAATCAATACAACTGTAGCTATTTAAAAACTCCAAACAGGAAAATCATTTTGCTATTTTATATTTAGCTACATTGTGATGATAAAGTAAATTCATATAAATAAGGTGCTTAGTACAGTGCCTCCTATGTGGGAAGTATTAAAAAAAAATATTTCCTTGATTAACTGGCCTAGAAACATGGTTATAATACACTCGTATAGCATTATAGTTATACATATTTTTATCCTTATTAATTTAAGCATGCTTTTATTTAAGAGTAGATGAAATAATTATCTTCCATAATCCTTTCTGAATTACCTTATACTGTGGTTGCTGTTGTTAATACTGTCAAGTCAGTTTTGACTCACTGAAGAGTGGTTGGTAGATTTGAATGACCGATCTTGCAGTTAGTAGTCCAGTGGTTATCCTACGGTGTCACACCAGGTCTAATACAGTATATGCAAGACCATAAGAACGGTGGTGTGGTGATCCATGGCTAACGCAAAAGCCATTGGTATGAACCAACCCAGGAACTCGATGTAAAGTTCAGGACACCAATGGGGCAGTTCTACACTGGATATAGAGTCAACATGAGTTGCAACTTGACAACAACAGGTATACAATAAGAACCACCTGTATTTTCTTTGCTGTACCCTGGTTTGCCCTCTCCAGAGCATGTTCTGGGCAACATGGTCTCTCTGAGTCTCTACTAAAAGTTAACTGTATACACTACTTTTTTCCATTCAAGTCTTGGGTCTGTGGTAGGATCAATGCTTAGCATCTAATTTCTGAGTGGAATTCGCAGTTTAAGCCAGAAGAGAAATTCTATTCTTTGTTTAAGAATGTATTCTGTGCACACCTGAAGGAGCTAGAGAGATTCTTCTTCTAAACTCTCCAGAACCATTCCCAAAAATGCACGTAGTTCTCACACCGATAATCCCCTCTTCAGCACCCTCTGCTATTAGTTAAAATTCTAGAACAATGAAGTCTATTGTTAAAAGTCTCAAGAAATCTAATACTTTTAAGAAAGATATGACATATTTAGTCTGTATTAAGAACTTGCTTGGTAGCGTTGTGGTAACTAGTCAGGCTGCTAAACTCAAGGTTAGCAGTTCAAAACTTCTAGCCGTTCCACGGGAAACAGATGAGGCTTTCTGCTCCTGTAAAAATTTACAGCCTTGGAAACCCTATTCAAGGTGGCTATGAGTCGGAACCGACTCCATGGCACACACCACCACCACCACCAGGAACCTGCTTATAAAAAAATCATCTATCTGACTAAAGAGACACTGGGGAAGCTTCCCTCATCATTGTCTCTAATTGGATTAAAATTCTATACATTCTTGTACCACCCAAGCTAGCAGTTTTAACATCACAGTCCAGATACATAAATGCTCTTTCCCCCTTTCCTCAACTCTCTTTGTTTGATTCACACACCCTTTGCTTTGTGGGAGGTGGAGGCAGAGATGGCGAGATAAGGCTTAGCAATAGTCAATGACTTACCTTATTTCACATCAGAGTTGTTTCAAACATTTTCTCCTAGGTTTTGTTTTATTTTGTTGTATATGTTTTCATTTAGTAAATCTAAAGTATGAGACCCCTTTGACTTTTCACTTTAAAAGATGGTTTTGAGATAGAAGCATTCCAAACTCTAAAATGAGTTTAAAAACACATACACTCACTTATTCACTGAAAGAGGAGTAAATGTAAAAACTGTATTCTCACTTTAAAAAAAAAAAAATTGAACTGAACAATCTTTGTACTGTTGTTTAACCTTGCAAAAGCTAACTTTCTTAGTCTATCATTTATGGATAATACAGTTTATTTCATATGAGTTATGAAAATTACACAAGAAAGATCAGATGTATATAAGTGGTTTACACATTATGACCTAACAAATTAATAATGTAAAGAAATTTCATTATTACAAATTTGAACTTTAAATCCTATGTTGAGTGAAATCTCAGGAAAACATGCATTGTTATTACAGAGATACAGCTATAAACCATAAAGGAGCTCTGGTAGTGTAGTGGTTACAAATCGGGCTGCGAACCTCAGGGTCAGCAGTTCGAAACTACCAGCTGTTCTATGAGAGAAAGATGAGGGTTTCTGCTCCCGTAAAGATTTACAGCCTCGGAAACCCTGTACAGGGTCACTATGAGTTGGAACCGACTCCACAGCACATAACAACAACAACAACAACAACAACATCTATAAACCATACCCAAACTACAGCCATTCAATTGATTCTGACTCATACTGACCTTATAGAACAAAGCAGAATTGATCCATAGGATTTTCTGGGCTGTAATCTTTATGGGACTAGATTGCCAGGTCTTTTCACCAGTGGAATAACAGGTGAGTTTGAAATACCAACATTTTCATTAGCAGCTAAGCACTTAATCACTTTGTTACTAGGGCTCCTTGTACATCTCCTAAAAACAGCTAAATATTGTATATAAGATAATACATGCATTTATCATTTTAAAATATGCTACATTGTTATTTAAAGGAGCTCTGGTAATGTAGTGGTTACCAGTTGGGCTGCTAATCTCAAGGTCAGAAGTTCAAAACTACCAGCCGTTCTGCAGATGAAAGATGAGGCTTTCGGCTCTTGTACAGATGTACATCTTCAGAAACCTTGTACAGGGTTGCTGTGAGTTGGAACCAACTCCACGGCACATAACTGCCACACTGTTTTATGATTTTGAAACAAGTAATGGCCAAATAGCAATAAATATTTTTCCTGTTATTTGTAACAAAATGGTACATATTCCGGAGATATTATTAATCTTAAAGACTACCCAGAATTTAAAGTCTGAAAATTTTATTTGGGAGTCCTGGTGTGGTGCTGTGGGTTAATGTGCCAGACTGCAAAGCCGTTTGAACTGCAAAGTCAGTGGTTCAAGCTCACCAGTTGCTCTGTGGAAACCCTATACAGGGTCGCTATGGGTTGGAACCAACTCTATGGCACTTAAAAACAACCATTTTATTTGATTGTAATAGTAGGTGTGTTTTTTTTGTTTTGTTTTGTTTTTTTTGTCCTTCTCTTCGTCTTTCTCCCTCTCATAAGAGAGAAAGAATGTGAACAAAAGAGAAGTGTTAGATCAAATTGTAAAATTTCAAACCAAGATTTGGAATATTAGTGAAAATAAATTGGTCTTACTGTCTCCAGTATCCAATTTTTACAGTGATCTATGACTACCCATCAGTACAAAGAGTTAAGAGCCTGAACTTAATGGTCCATATGCCTCAATATGTGCTGATAATGCCAATTAGCACTAATACGATACCCAGGCACTTCAAGGCAAGAAGAGCTCTGTAGAGTTCCTAGGTTTTGCTTGTAATGCATTTTCTTTTGCCTATGTCATACAAGCAGGGAATAAAGATGATGGGTTAACCTCAATCATATGCCATTTTCCATGTCAACGAATCATTTAGAAGGTGGACTGATATTACATTGTAGAGAAAGAGATCCCAGAGTGAATTAAGCCCATCTGATGTACTAGTGCTATGTAAATTAGTATTCTAATGGCTAATTGTAGGAAAGAGCACAATTTGAGTTATTGTATCATTTTCAAGTGGCTTTAGAATGTAGACCCTTCTCTTTTAGATGGTTTATTTCAGTAATATATTTAGATTCCACAGGAGAATTAGGTTGTTCTCAAATTATGCTTCATATGTGTGGAAATGTCTAGACTCATATAGTAACACAAATTTCATAAGAGGGCAATAGCTTTTTGAAATTATATTCCTGACATGCTAGCAAACATCACTTCATTTAGAAGGGGTTTAATAACATGGTAATGTTTATGTAAAGTGAGTTTATAGTGTCACACTTGAATCTAATAAAGTGGACATCCATCATGTTGCAATAAAGAGAAGAGCTTCTAATTAAAGTAGGACATCATTTGCAGGATTAAAGTCATTTAGCGTAATTGAAAAGTGTTAATACCCTATTTTATCCTCTTCCATTGGTATTACTTCAAGGGTAAAAACATTTTAAGGTGAAAATGTGTCTTGTGCCTTTAATTGAATGTTATTACCTCCTGATTGTAACGTATTGAAACTGTTTAATTACAAACTTGGAAAATTAATTACTATATCGAGAAACAGATCCCAGAGGGTTATAATGTTCTTTTTTGTAAGTAAATACAACATAAAAATTGATATGTCCTTATTTATAATCCAACTTGGAGACATAACTCAATATGATTTATTATACCCAAATGTTTTCCTTAATTGAACAACAGTAAAATAACGTAGGTCATCCAGGTTAGCATCATGCTTTCTTATAAGAACTCTTTAAGATTTACAGTTAGGCTGTATATATTATTATGAGATGTTTTGTAAACTAACTTTTTAAAGTTATTTTATTGAATTATTTAAGCTTAGCATGTATATATATATATACACATACATATATATATACACATAGATACATATCTCTTTTACCATGTATATTTTAAGAAACATTCTACAGTCTAATTTTATTTTCAATAACTTGTTTGATTTTGTTTACACTATTGCATTTGTTTCTAATACACTCAAAGTTATTATGACCTACTGAAAGCTTATAACAAAAGAAGATTCAGCTGTCTCTGTCAGTCCCGATCACACATTTCTGAACACCTTTAGGAAAAATTCAGTTGATCCCAAAAAGTATTTCAAATAATCAGAAGAAATTAAATATATTTGGAGTTCTTCAGTACTTTGTAGGTTATAAAGTAAATACATAGTTCATATTATAATCCTGATCCTCATAATGTTTTTAAGGCATGAATAATATAAGCATTATCAATGCCCACTTTTCAGTTGAGGAAACCAAGTCTGAAGATATGAAGTAGCTAGCAAAAAAACAACCACCAGTGAACATGTAAGTGGTTATGATAACGACACATTTTTGAAATTACAGATGATTGTTACTTCTACGAGATCAGACTTGCTTCCTAGAGAAAGTTATTTTTCCATGATTTGAAAAACATTTCCCAATGGAATTCACTGTTTAAAATGTGGTACTAAAATTTACTCATTTTAGTACCACATTTTAAAAACTCTAGATTATTTATTTATTTTTTTCAAACACGTTCCTATTATTTTAATAGCTGTGATATTTTCCTTGCTGAGTTGAGAAAAAGTACTAATGATATCGGGTTTGCTTCCACAGAATCTGCTTTTCCCTAACCAGCCCCAGCAGCCCAACAGTAGATGCTCAGTGTCGCCAACTGGAGATCTCACTATTACCAACATTCAACGTTCAGACGCGGGTTACTACATCTGCCAGGCCCTGACTGTGGCCGGAAGCATTTTAGCAAAGGCTCAGCTGGAGGTTACAGATGGTGCGATATTATTGTTATCTTTGGATTTGTATTTTGAAAATATTGGTTTTATTTCAGCATAGTCAATAACCATGTGTATTGTTTTGACTTACTAATTCACTTGGTGGTGGTTATGTGCCGTGGAGTCGGTTCCGACTCATAGCGACCCTGTACAGTGTTTCCTAGGCTGTAAATCTTTACGGGAGCAGAAAGCCTCATCTTTCTCTTGCGGAACAGCTGGTAGTTTTGAACTGCTGACCTTGCGGTTCACAGCCCAATTCGTAACCACTATGCTACCAGAGCTCCTTACTAATTCATTTGGGTTAATGCTTATTTTCAAAGTTTATATCTAGAAAAAATAGCATTTTGTTGTTGTTATATGTTGTCGAGTTGACTCCGACTCATAGCGACCCTGTACAGAGTTTCCAATGAGCGACTGATGGGTTTGAACTGCTGACCTTGTGGTGAGCAGTCCAGTGCTTATTCTAAAGTGCCACACCAGGACTCCATTTTTTACTGGTGTCGAATTCTTCCTGATACAACACTATTCATTTTCCTAAAGAAGAAAAACAAATTACAATTCATTTTATTCTTATTTAAGAATTACTTAAAATAAATGGCATAACAATGTCAGTTTATAAAAATGTATGCTGTACATTTTTATTTAGACATGCTGACATGATTGCTTCAAATTGATATTAATAATTTAGTTTTATTAAAGGAGGAAGAGGTATCATCTTTAATATTATCAGTAAAAACAGGCATATGTTTTTGATTAGTTGCTCATATATGAAGTCGGTTCTGATTCATAGCAACCCTGACTATGGTTACCAAGGAGTAGCTAGTAGATTTGAACCACCACCCTTGCATTTAGCAGTCCAGTGCTTGTCCAAAAATGCCACACATATGTTCACTAAATTTAATTAAATATCTTCCAAAGCACTGATGAATACAAAAATCAAAATTTTAATTTGCACATACATACTATGCTTCTTAACTGAGAAACATACATGTATAATAAAAGTCTAAAGACATTGAGGGTTCTGCATAAATTGATGAGCTTACTTGTCATAATTGACAGCTAGCTATTTTGTGAATCTCTGACATTTAACTAAATTCCTATTCTTTGGTGTCTTAAATTAAGAACACTTCCTTGCAAGTGAGTTTTTTGTTTTGTTTTATTTTTCTCCTAATGCTGTCTTCTGAGCATGGTATTAGAGATTTGGTTTGTGACCACTTGGGTTCTCTATTTTCTCTGCTGCTAACAATCCTATGCACTTTCATGCAGTTCAGATTTACATGTAGATTAAAAGGTGATTTAAAATTAATAGAAAGGCAGTATTTTAAAAAATATATATCTATCAGTTGTATTGCTTGATTTAATGCCATGTCAGGAACGGGAACAAATAGAACAGACAAACACTGGCTATGAGGACATTGAGTTGTTAATAGCTGCACCTGCTGATGCTGCAGAGATTTACTGCTATGGAGCTGAAAGAGGAAGTCAGGTTCAAGGGTAACAGTGATGAGAAATCTTCCTTTTGATGGGCAAGATCTTTGATCCTTTGTGCCTCTGTATTTCTTTTAAAGAGTAAAGATTATTGCTAATCTTTTTAAGTTCTTTTGTGCTCTATTATCAGCAAAAATGTCCAGATACTTATATTGGCACATAATATATTCTGGAAGGATAGCATTTTCATTTTATTATATGGCAACACATTTCAAATGAAATGCTTAAGATCACTATTATAATCTAGTAATTTATAATACTTTATGAAACATAGATTATACAGTATTTCCATATGAAGACAAAGTGATAGAAAAGGCAATATTTGTAGAAAACAACTGATAAATTTAAAGAAATCAGTTGTTATGAATTATATTGTTTATAAAATATTGATATGATGGATACTCAGATTATGTCTAATATAATGAAAATGACAAGGTTTTTTTCATAATGTGTGTTAATTGTTTAATCTCATAAATTGTAGTGATTCTAGTTTAATTTCTGATGTCAAAATTGAAAGAGTAATAAGTATATTTAAATCTTCTGAAGACCCAGATGTCGCTATACATTTTGGTTCGACTGACTTGGGTATTAATTCCTATATTGATTTTTACTTCAGAAAGCAATCACAAAGTCGAGATCCTATTGAAATCACCATTAAATGAAGGTTATAGAAGCTATTTATTTTGACAGCAAGGAAAGACATTTCAATATGTATACATATATAATATCTGTATATGTTCAAGCTCACCAGCTGCTCCTATATAGTGTTGCTATGGGCCGGAACTGACGTGACAGCACTTAACAACACCAACAATAACGTATGTAATATATGTGTGGAGTCCTGGTGTGGTGCTACAGAATAATTCATAGAACCGTAAGGTCGGTTTGAAAGACAAAGTCAGTGCTTCAAATCCACTAGCTGCTGCTTGGAAACCCTATACAGGGTCCCTATGAATTGGAACAGACTCAACAACACTTATCAATGACAATGGTGTTGTTGTTGCTAAGTGCCTTGGAGTCATCGGTTTCGACTTGTAGTGACCCTGTACAGGGATTCCGAGGCTGTAAATCTTTAAGGGAGCGGAAGACCTCATCTTTCTCCCATGGAACAGCTGGTAGTTTAGAACTGCTGACCTTGCGGTTCACAGGCCGATTTGTAACCAATACGCTACCAGAGCTCCTTAATTCCATACATGACAATACAGATGTATATATGTATACATGTGTGTAGATCTGTGTGTGAAAGTACCTATCTCTAGCAGTGAGTTTACCACATTAGCTGAAGATGTAAGCTTTGATTATCTATAGTAATATTTCTGTTGCTATTTTTGCACTTGTACTTTTTTCTCAAAATAATTTTAACTCAAGTGTTCATATAAGCAAAAATTGCTAATGGTGAGGAAAGATACTATGTTGAGAAATAACTTAACTGATTATAGTTTGAGCTAAGATGCTTCAATATACTTGAGTTGCCATACATTTTTATAAATGATGTTTTCATTAATCTTTTGGCATTGTTTTTCATGCCTTCTTTTCTTCTATCTTGTCTTGTTCTCTCAGATAATTAGAAAAGTATGAGAGGTCTATGAATTGAACTAATAAAATCTAAACGGAATAGAAAGAAGAAATGTGTTCATATTTGTATTGACAATAAATGGCACATCATGATCTTATAGGAATAGTTTATTGAGGATTTATAATGCATAGTTAGTGAACACCAAAGAGTTATTCACAGATCACTGGAAACCCTAAGTGTTCATTTAACCTTTGACCTTTGTGTCATGGAAACCTGTGGTCATCTTTCACCTATAACACCTTTGAAACCAAAAAAAATCCTTCTGGCCAGAGATTTTCAATTACTTTATTGATCAAAGTCATTTAAAATACAACAAGCTACTATTGTAGGCAGTTAAAAAAGAAAAGGAAGCGAGGGAGGAAGTGAGGAAGAGAGAAAGAAAGAAATTGTATGCCCTTTGGCTGTATGTAATGATTTTAAAGATAAGAAAATAAGGACAGAGTTATAAGAAATTATTAGAATGTTATATAGGTGTTTAATTGCAAACAAAAACTGGAACATTAATCTAAAATTCAAGAAACAGTTATACTCTGGTGATTTAGACCCATTTTTTCAGGGAATTGAAATTGCAATTATCTTTTCGTTTCCTTTTCCACAAATTTTTAAGCCCCTCATATTTATAATCTTTGTGAACTAGCCTTTTTGACCTATATATAAATAGATTTCATGACATTTTCCATTTGAATTCAATTTCACAATTATTGCAATATGTCATAATTAGATTTTTCTTCTATAGTCTCTTATTTACTTGTAAAATGAAGAATTGAAAGAAAATTTGTTTAATAAATTATTCTAATTTTGGTTTGTGAGCCATAGAAAAACAAGAATTTGCTGTTTTTCAAAGTTTTCATATTATGAGATTTTATATGTTCATGCCAACCAGTTGCCACTGGGTTCATTGTGACACATGGCTGCCCCATATGTGTCAGAGTAAAGCTGTGTTCCACAAGGATTCAATGACTGAGTTTTTTGAAAGTGGGTCATTAGACCTTTCTTTTAAGGCTCTGCTACATAGGCTTATACCTCCAACCTTTCATTTAGAAGTCAAGCACATTAACCATGAACCCACCCAGGGACTTCATAGATATATATGAAGTCTATGTATGTATGTATGTGTATATATATTTATATATATATAGTTGAACTGTAAGGTCAGTTTGAATGACAAAGTCAGCAGTACAAATTCACCAGGTGCTTCTTGGCAACTCTATACAGGGTCACTATGAGTTGGAAATGACTCAACGGCATTTAACAACAATAATAATATATGTGTGTAGCAACCCTGTGTATGGTTCCCAAGGAGCAGCTAGTAGATCTGAACCACCAATCTAGCATTTAGCAGTCCAGTGCTTATCCAAAAGCACCACACATATATTCACTAAATTTAACTAAATATCTACCAAAGCACTGATGAATACAAAAATTTAAATTTTTGTTTGCACATACATACGCTGCTTTACTGGGTTAACGCACTGGACTTCAAAGTCACTTTGTTGTTGTTGTGAAGTGCCGTCGAGTCTGTTCTGACCAATAGCAACCCTGTATAGTGTTTCCAAGGA